AATAAAATATATATATATATATATATTGTCAATATATTGATTAATTTTTCTATACATATATACAAGAAAAATTTGAAATAAGTTTGAAAAAAGAAAAAAATAGAAAACCTAATAACCTAATTAATAGATAAAAGAAAGACGAATCCAATTAGATCAATTTTTTTAAAGAGAATACTTCTTACGAAAGATGAAATTATTTTTAAAATCTAAAAGAATCCGTTCGGGACTGAAGAATATAATTTTGATAAATATTTGATAGCAATATAGTTCTTACGTCGGTTTCCACAGTCTGAAAGAGCTAACTTCAGGGTGCGTGTCTAACGCGTCGGTACCTCGTAGACAATACTAAACGAGGGTCCTGCCAACATTGAGATATCCCTACCATAATTTACGAGATCCTGTTTGCCGACAAAGATTGCGGGTGGCTCTTGCAAAGCAGAAGAGGCTGCTGGAAATGGTATCGTGCTGGGAAACCAGCTTTCGTCACGGTCACTGTTTGAACACGATCGTACCGTGCATTATTGCCGATCATACTTCCATGAGGAGTAGAAAGTTGCTGTACGTGCTGCGACAACTATCGATTCGCAGCTGCGTTTTCTTTTTTATTTAATAATTCATCATTATTAAAATTGATCAATGATGAAAAATAGAAATATTTTACTTAAGACGAGATTAATAGGATATTCGAAATATGAATATCGTATGAATAAGAATATCGATTGAATTATATTTATATTTATTGACAATAAAGTTTGCGAATTTACTTATATTTCTCATCCTCTGAGATGAATGAATGTTGGATAAGGAGATAATAGTCCATACATCAAATTTTTTTCGAATATGCTTAGAAGAAGACCAAGGAAAAAATATAATAAAGAAATTTGCAAGTAATTAATTCGTTTTTTAACTTTTGATAAAAAGAAAATTAATGAAAACTAATAAAAAAAATAAATTTTAGATTAAATGATATAAAAAAAGAAAAATGATTAATTTAAAAAAAAAACAAAAATATCTTTATTTAAAAATCATAACAAATGAACATAAAATAAATATAAAATTCATATCTATATTCATATCTATATCCAAAAAAAATGGATAATTAATTAATTATTTTAATAGTCGATACATATTTTAATAGTTTCTTGTTTTAATATTTAAAAGCATAAAGATTTTTACAAAAAGATTTTTATTTTAAAATATTTATTAAAATAATTAATTTTTTAAATTAAAAAATTTTATCATTTTACCACATTTTCTCTGAATTCTTCAAATAATAATCGCTATTAAATCGATTGATTTATGCACGTTTACCTAACAGATATTACTTCATTTACGACTGTTACCTAAAGAGTAACATTAAGTAACAGAATGTTGTTACCTACAGGAAGAGTAACATCAGGTAATAGGGCGTTCAGTAGCTGTTTCGAAAGTCGATTTTCAAAAAAAAAAAAAAAAAGGATGACCTTGGTAACAAAGATGTAGGTACAAAAAGATGATGTATACTCCGAGGTCTTTGTTCATCACAGAAACGACTTTTTTCATTCAACGTCATAAAACCGCATTGCAACGTATTTGACGGAGTTTTACAAATTTCTCTTTTTTCAAACACGAAAGCAATCTCAGTTTTTTTAATTATAATTTGATTTTGCTGTCTATAATTACGAATCTTGTCCATGAAATATTGTATCATTTAACAATTACTTTTGAAATAATTAATAGTATAATTATTTAAAATAGTATATAATGATAGAATTAGATTATTAAAAATATCTAAATATTTCTTCTCCACGTGAACTTATTCTAATTTCTTAAATATGTAAAACTTTCGACTTTTATTTATTCAAAATAATTAGTTATTAATATATTTAGTTATTATTATCATCGATTGATAATATCTTATATCAATATCTATTAAAATAATTAATTTTTTCAAAATTTAATGTTCAAAATGTTTTTATGAAGTTGGAATCTAATTTTGATTAAAAATTTTAATTTTAAAATGAGTTAAGTTAGATATCTAAGTATTAACACTATTTATTATGTAATATATCTAATATAATATAAATTTTGTAGAAAGTTATAATATCTCTTAAATTTTAAATTAGATTTCACAAAATATTCAATTCACGGATCAATAAAAGATATATGATTGTATGACAAATAACATCTTACTTTCGAATAGGGAATAGAAATCAATAGATTTCAGGAAACTATAAATGCGACAATTTGAAACTCTATTGAACGAGATCGTGCATTGCTGGTAGTCCAGGTGGCTTGAAAGAGCAATTAAATGTATAAACGGTGGAAATTAGCCGCAAGAATTGGTTTTGAATCTTGGTTAAAGGCACGCCTTGAATGGATTCGCGGGTGTCAGGGCCATTTAACACGATGACACCCCATTTACCACCCCCGCAAAGAGACCACTGGATACCGACAAAGCCCTAAAGCCCATATGTCAGCACGTGCCAGTGACCATAGGTATTGTTGAATGTTCATTCTGTTAGAATAGTCAGCTTACTGTTTATTCGTTACAAACATCACGATCTCACGTATTATGATAAAGTTAACACTTTCGAACAATGATTTTTGAAAATGTTTTCATTTTTTAGAATCCCAAAAATTCCTAAAATCTAAATTTCTCTCTACAATGCTTTATCTATTTCTTACTACCTATTAATATCTTATTAATATCTGAAATTATATAATTATAATATATTATATTATTATAAAAAGAAAAAAGTAAGAATGATCTATAAATAATCTCATCTGCTATTCTATGATTAAAATTTTATTATTTTTTTAAAGATAAATTGATTTAGAGTCTTTTAAAAATCTAAAATCAGAAAAATCTCTACTGAATGTTTTATTTTAACTTATAATTTATTAAGAAATTTATAAAGAAATTTTAAGATATCTATTTGAAAAAAATTATTTATTCTATATTATTTTTATTCCTATTATATATAATTTATAATTTATAATATATATATATATATATATTTAAAATTATGAAATATGTCTCTTCAAAAGTTAAAAGCTAAAATTTAAAAAAAATAACTTTTATTTCATTTGAACTCATTTTTTTCTAAATATTGAAATATTTTTTATAAATTATTTATAGATAGTATAAAATTATAAATTGAAAAATAATATGATAATAAATAATAAAGGATTAAGAAAAGAAGATACATTAATAGCAAATTCACTTTAAATAAACTTTAAATTCACAATAAATTAAACATCGCATAATATTAATTTAATTCATGATTTTATCAATGAAGATATTGATATCTCTATAAAAAAATTTTGTATTAACTTTTTTTTTTTTAAGTCAGCATATAGTCGTACATTTGTATACATGAACTTTTGCATATTTATATGATGTATATACGTTTATATTCCACGTTCCAACGAACAAGATAAAAGGGGGTTAGTCGAGATCAGCGGATTCACGAATTCTTTCTTATTCCGCCCTAATTCGAGGAAACGACCATCGTAAAACGAATCAGAGGGGTATCATACCTCGGAATTTCTTCTTCCTATTATCCTCTCGACGCTCGTTTTTGCTCCACCCTCTTGTATTTAAGGATGAAAGAAGGAAAACGTTGGAAAACCAAGCAGGAAATCGTATCCTATAGAAAACGGCAATTCTCCTACATACACGATTACTTTTTACTCTTTCATTTTTTATTGAGTTATCGAAACTATACCCATGAGATAGATTTTATTGTATTATGTTCGAAAATTTTTCTAAAACGCTTTCCAATATTAGATAATATTTAAGTTCTAGTAACGATAAATTCAATTGAAATTTCATCGAACTTAAATTAGAACAAACGAAACATAAATATTCGTATTTATATTATATATTCATTTTATATTCATTTTTATATTGTATGCATATTTTATATTTATCTATTTATTTTAAATTTTTATGTTTTAAATTTTAAACTTTTTCTTTTATTTGTCTTTTAAATTTAAAAAATTTTTTTAAAATTTTAGTTTTTAAAGTTAATCTATTTTGTTTCAAAATTAATATATCTATTATTTTTATTTCAAAAAAAATATATGAAAAATATTTACATTTTTTTCAAGATTCCAACTTTTTCTTATTAATAAATTATCTTTGAATTTCTTTATGTTATTGAAAAGAAAAATGATTCTTTTTATTCGACGAAATAATATTTAGTTACTAGAAATCATGATATTCTGTTTGCTATTTGAATTATTACTAAAATTGTTATTATTACTACTAATTATATTAATTATTATAGATGTTTACAATTTTAAAAATATGTAATTGTAATACTTTATAATTTATTTAATTTGCACATAAAAAATAGTCGATATGATAGAGACACAATTTTAAATATTTGTAAAATCAAAAAGTTAAAAAGTACGTAATAAATATATTATACATATATGAATATTATATTATTATTTCATTTTATACTATGCATATCCAATTTTCAAAACACAGTACATAGTGCGCCATCTATCGTCATATAATACGAAGTAGTTAAAATATATATAATTTATTAAAAAGAATTTTTTAATATTATATATAATTATCATATAATAAAAGATTATGAATTTAAATTTTAAATAATTTTTTATAAAATTGTGCATAAATAATAATAATTTCATGATATTATACTATTGTAAAATAATTATTTCTTTTATATTCTTTTTGAATTATGTATTACTTTATATTTATAATTTTTAATATTTATAATTTATATTATTTTCAATATATCGTTATTTTTAAATATATTATATTGTAAATTTCAAAATATTGTTATATTATTTTATATTAAAAAAACAAGATTAATAAAATATCATTTTACAATTATATTATTATTAAATATATTATTATTAAAATTATTTATTATTTATTTTTTATTTTATGAAATAATAATATATATAATAATTATTATACATATAACTTTATTATATAGATTTTTATTTTAATTATATTTTTATTTTAGTAAATTATTGTAATGCTCACATATCATAAATGCCCTCTATAGGAAGAAAAGTGCAATTCTGATTTTATCTCTTTCAGTAACAAGCAGTTTTACAAGATGGTGAGTATTTTATGTCAAAGTTTTAAATCTTTAATTTTAAATAGAATCTTATACAAAATATATTTTTTTTAAATAAGAAATTATAAAATAATTATTTATATAACCAATTATAAAGATATTTTATAATCTTTTAAACAAAAATTATATAATATCATATCGCTCATTTATTAAATGTTCATTATTAATTTATGATTGTTATATATAAAAATTTTTAGTTAATTGTTTCTCATACTTTATTTTGTGTATCTTCATATAATTTTTAGTAATTTAAAATAAATATGAGAACAATTAACTAATACTATAAATATTGATACATATAGGTTAATTTGTAATAAATTTAATAGATGTATCATATTTCAGTCTCTCGTAATTCCGGAAAAATTTCAACATATTCTTCGTGTCATGGGCACAAATATTGATGGTAATAGAAAAGTTATGTTTGCTATGACAGCAATTAAAGGTGTTGGTCGTCGTTATGCTAATATAGTTTTAAAGAAAGCTGACATTGATTTAGATAAGCGTGCTGGAGAATGTTCAGAAGAAGAAGTAAGAATTAATTTATATAATTTATATTTTTTTTAATAATTTCATATAAATAAATAAAAAATAAATAAAATTTATTAAATTTTTATAATAATTAAAAATAAATAATATATTTATCTATTTATTTTTTTGTTATAAGGTTGAAAAAATTGTTACAATTATGGCTAATCCTAGACAATATAAGATTCCTGATTGGTTTTTGAATAGGCAAAAAGATATTGTAGATGGTAAATATTCACAGGTATGTACAATTATAGAATTTTTATAAAGTATTGATATGACTTATTAATTTTAAACTTGTAAAAAAAATTAAATAATGTAACTTTGTAAGCACGATTTCACGACTAACCATATGTATTTTGTATATGGATTAATTGGTAGCTCGTGCTAAAGAAACTGCATGATAGCTTGCTATTTAACATTAATAAGTTAAATAGTATATTGAAACTTAATTAATTATGCAACATATAAATTCCAATAGATTTATAAATTAATTATTATTTTAAAATTATGTAATTCAATTATTACATTATATTTTATAGCTCACTAGTTCTTATCTGGATTCAAAACTTCGTGAAGATTTGGAACGAATGAAGAAAATTCGTGCTCATAGAGGTTTGCGCCATTATTGGGGTTTGCGTGTACGTGGTCAACATACAAAAACTACAGGTCGTCGTGGACGTACTGTGGGTGTATCAAAAAAGAAGTAATTTTATATTTTTTTGATTATCAATAAATTAATAAAATAACATTAATGGTTTTATTTTAATAGCATTTGTTTTGAATAATATATTTATTATAGACAATATAATACAGTTTTCATATTTATGAAACATAATTCTTTATTTAAATAAAAACAATTCATAGCTGAATTATAATTGCAGAAACATTTTCAAAATAGTTTTCATAATTTAAAAATATTTATTTAATATGCAATTTTAAAGATATTTTCAATTCTTTTCTTTGTACAACATATTGCATTATATATTTAAATTGTAAAAAATTAATATATATATACCTAAAAATTAAATTATATATACCTAAAATGTGATTTTCATTAATCACACTTTGGCAGTTACTTCTGAAACTAAAACTTGTACAAGATAAAATGTTTATAGTGTTCAATTTAAATAGAAAGTAGAAGCAAAAGTATAAGTACAAGGAATATTCATTAAGAATAATTATTGACAAGTTTTTTATTTATAAATATTAATCAATTCTAAATATGCTGCGGGTATTTTTCCTCGTTTTGATCCACTTATCCCCATTACATAGTCCTCATCACCAGGTATTTCAATAACTGTAATTACCTAAGATAATTGAATTTCATAAAATATTAAAATAAGTTCATAAAATTTTAATTTAATAAATCTCAAAATATTAAAAATTTAATTGAATTAAATAAAAATAGCTAAAATTATAAAAAAACTAAAGGTATTTAAGGTATGAACAAATAAAATACACATAACAAAATAAATGATAATTTATTTATTATATGCAAAATTGAATAAATGCATATACATATTTTTTTATATGCATGTACATATATAACATTAATTTTTTTATGAAGAAACAAATATACAAGTAAAATCAGAACATATGTATTAAGCATCAAAAACAAAATTTAACAAAAATAGGAAAACGAATTATACATTTATTATTAAAAACTTATAATTAAATATTACAAATATCATGCAAAATTCTTAGAGACCTAGTGTCAAGTATATAAAAATGTTTGTTTTAAAACAGAGACTTAAACTAATTGAGTATTATATGCAATTCCAATATATATATGTTTTTTACTTTATAATATCATGTCTTATTTTTGTTACAAAAATTTATTTACATTATTCAATTTAAGCACTCTATCTTTATTTTACATTATAGAAACAAAAATTTAAACTATATACTATTTAAAATTTTAAACTATATGAGAATGTATCATAAAAAATTCTTATGTAAGTAACAACTATTATCTTTCTATTATATTTATAATAGATCAAAAATACATTTGCATTGCACTGAATTTAAGATATAAAGTGCATAATTATTTATAGATTTCTAATAAATAGATTTATAAATTCTAATAAATTTTTAATATATAAAATTTTAATATTTATTATTAATGAGATTTCACTGTTATATATTTGAATTTGAAAGAATAAAATTTATAAAATTGATTTAATTATATCAAAATTTTCAAACGAAAAAAATTACTTTTAATTGAATTAATAAATGAATTCACTTTTAACTAACAATTCATAGCATTTATTTAGCTATGCTGTAAACATGCTTCTTTCTAACTAAATCACGAATTTTGTTACCTCATTTTGTACGACGCTTAATTCTTCAGAATTGCTTGCAGAAAAATCGCATAATACCCTTGCAAGTTGTTCATCATCATTCCCTGATACATTGGATGTTGATAGGGTAGTCGGATGATAAGGACCCCCAGATAAGCTGGGTAGGATAAATTACAATTTGGATGAGTTGAACATGCATTTTAAAATGAATCAACTATTTGTGCAAATATGTAAAATTGTTTTTGTAATTTTCAACATTTTAATTGTATTTAAATTATATTGTTTTTTTTTTAAATTAAAAAATTGATAAAATATTCTAATTTCGTTTTTCAAAGAATTTAAAAAAAAAAAAAAAGAAATATAAATTCTTATTTTGAATTATTACTATATTTTATATAATCTATATATAGCTAGATATATAAATAAATATTAAAATTATTGTAAAATTATATTAGTACACATACAGAAGCATAAGCGATTTGGCAAATAGGAAAACAATAAATAATAATCTAAAAATAATGTTAAAAACATATTAAAAGATTTGGGAAAAGAATCCTAATCTTTTTTAACAAGTAATTTGCTAATATTAAAGAAATTTAGCATCATGCATTACAAACAAACATTAATCAACTATACAAACAACACATAATAGAACATGATTAAAACATATATTAAACAAGTAAGAGTATTAAATAAATAAAAAAAAAATCTAATAAATATTTTTTTTTAATTTTGTTTTTTATTAATATAATTGTTTATTTCTTTTATTGTGTGAAAGTAAATAAACATTTCATAAAGATAATTTATTTACTGATTTCTGATAATTACAAGTTCATAATGCGATAGTAATATAGTAGACTAAGAATCATTCAACATATTTTTAAAATTGTATAAGTTAACAAATATATGTATATCTATGTATACATGGGGAGAAATGCCCTATAAGCTTTTATTTATGATTTCAGATCATAAATAAATGAAGTAGTTATTGCCTTTCATTAACGCGATTAATTAATCTTAAAGCTAAACTTTCGAGATATCAGTATCAAAGGTAGCAGTAACATAGGTAGAACCAGCAAGTGGTGGATGTATAGAGGAATTTTGGGATTGTGAATTTGAAGGTGTTAACTCGATCACATCTTCGCTGTTGACTCGCAGCAAAGGACTTGGTTGACGCGTCCTGGAATCCCAATCATGCAGGCAAAGATAGAAAATAGAAAGAATATATTGAAAGAATAAATAAGTATAATAAGCACAGAACTAGAGCAACAAATACATAATTGTTTTTATTTTAGGATCTACAATTAAGATAACATAATTACTATTAAAAAAAAGAAAAAAGGAAAATAAACATTACATATACCACATTTATAAAAATAAGCAAAGTTTTAGGCAATACAAATTAATATATGATGATCTTTGCGAATGAGTAATGGTTCTATAAGCTTATTCTAAATACTTTTACATGTCATATGTGACATAGCATTCAATAATTATTAAACATTACTCACTCGGATCACCAAAGAGTAGGATAGCTGTATAAGGATAGTTGTACAGTAGTGTGTAGGATAATAAAATAATATTTGAAAAAAAAAAACGAACTTTGAAAATAAATTTTCTTTCTTACCCAGCAAGTTCACGTTGTAAATCTTGCATTGTTGCATGACATTGAGCATAATATCGCGCTTGTGCTTCAACAAATTCATGTAAGCAACGCAAATGTCCTGCTTGAGAACTTGAAACTCCTTCCAATAATAATTTTACAATTTCTGCTTGACGATCGAAGTCCGATTGTGCTACTCTCAACTCCCTCTCTGCCTGAGTACATATAATAAATAGTTTTATTTTTTGTTTTTGAATATCAACAATTTTTTATATAATTTAAATATAAAATAGAAATAATTTTTAAAATGAAATTTAAAATAAAAAATATATATGATTATTATGAATTTTATTATAATATAAATAGTAAAATAATATAATATATATATAGATTTTAAAAGTTTCATCATAACAATATCAAATATATATTCAAGAAAGTTCAAGTTTTATTATAAATTTTGAATCACTGAAGGTATCAACTCCTTTAATACCTGATCAAGTAATACTTCAGGAGATACCCCAGACTCCTATGATATGCAGCAATATATAGGACAAAACACATTGTAAACATATATAACATATATAATTTATTAAAATAACAAATGATAAAACTTACACTCTGTTGACCCAACATACTTCTTGCTTTTCTTACTCGATTTTTACATGCATCTAAGTCTAGTCTAAAAATAATAAATAATAATTTAATTAATTAATACTGAACATTTAAATATGCAGAAAAAATAAAATATATACCGCTTATTTTCCAATATTGACATTTCTTTAGTAACAGTTTTCATTTCACTTTCTAAAAATTTTCTTAAAGGTTGTATATAACAAATTGCTGCATCTTTAATGAAACTTCTTTCAATTTGTCCTAACTTTTGTTGACATTGTCCAACTTTATTTAATGCACTACCTAAAATAACAATTTTTATAATGTTTACAATAAAATAAAGAAAAAATAAAATTACAAAATAATCAAAAAATAAAATTAATATTTATGCAAACCATAAGCATTTCCTGGACCAAAATTGTTTCCTGCTTCTATCATATCCATGCCTACATATTCTAGATTACTCAATCTGTTAGGTTTCTTCTTATCAATCTTTTCATAAAAAAAATCTTCAATTCTATTGCCTATAACAAATTTATTATAAATATGGAAAATATAATTTATCATATAATTTTTTTATATTACCTGGATTTGGAGTAAGTACTGCTTCCATATTCCTAAGAATTTTTTCAGTCCATGTTTTAGTTGCATTTGCTCTATCTGCAAGATGTTCTAAATGTGCATCTAATTCAGTTTTTTCAGATGTTCCTAATGTTTCTTCTGTTAACTAAAAAAAAGATTTTAAATATTATATGATGGTTTATTATTATAATTTATTATTAAATTATTATAATAAATTATAATAAAAAATATAATATTGTATTATATAAGATATTAAAAATAAACATATAATTATATTAATAATTAAGTATCTTTATTGTTAATTAATTTAATTTATTTCTAATTTGGAAAATTATAATAATAATTTATAATTTTTTATGTATGTGTATATATATATATATATATACTATAATTAATGTTTTATATTGTCATACATCAATTTTTTATAATATTTTATAATATTTTTCTTAAAATATATTTGTTTATTAAATTATGATGACATTAATTTTAAAATAGATAACAGTTTTACTTAGTCATCTACATTTATTTGATATATTCTGAGTCATTAAATGATTAATTAATTAATATGCATATATTGCATTCTCTGAAATTATTTAAAATTAAGCAATTCTATAATAAATATAAAAAGTAAGGAAATAAAGATAAAAAA